AGCTGTGCCTGTAACATTTCTTTGATATTTATTTGCTTTCCCATTTCAAATTTTTCTTCCTTGAAAAATACCTAACTGCTTACCAGCTTCTGAGCTGCCTACCTCTGGCAAATCCAGATTCTTTTATTATTTAAATAAAATATGAAATGGAAGTTGGCATGCTGAATAGAGAAAGTGCTAGATGTCTGCAGTATTGATTTCCAAGATTGCCTCTGATCTCTATAGGTATTCTTAAGTAATAAATTTTGGAGGTGATTAGAAGTTTGTCCAAGTTCCCAGAAAAACAATGATCTAGAATTGGTGTTCTGATAAGGTAGTGAGATTGATGGGAAACACTTTCACCAATTTGTCTTCTGGTAAATGGATATTTTGCAATTGGGCTAAATCTTGATAGAAAATGTCATACTTTCATGGTAGCCATTTTGTGCAGGTGCTTCCAGTATGTTCTTAAATTTTAATAGCTCTCCATAAGCTAAAAGAAGCCAAAAAACTCTTAAGGTATCATCAGTCAGCAAAGTTCTGTATATTTTCCTTACTGCTGTATTTCCAAATAACTACTCCTATACAGATAACTTCATCACATAGAGTTAAGGATAATTGGACTTGTAATGAGGGGGGGGGCATATGCTAAATTACAGCTGAATATACTGAAGTTAGATAAAGCAATTATAGGATTATAATCACTCACCCGTATTCGTTTCATAGGACACCTGCAAATGCAATTAGCAAATCATCTCAAAGACCAAATGTAAGAGCAAAAGTCATGGAAGGAAACAGCTGAGTTCACGCAGTGGGACTGTGGCTTTGTTTTCATAAACTTAAATACTGATCCTGCAATCAGACTGTGGTGGCACTAAATTCCTTAAATTTAGCATAGGGTTTCTTTCTCTCATGCTACAATGAAATTTAGTACCTATGGAATGCAAGACCTGTCAACTCCAGTTACCATTCTTTTATGTGATTTCACCTGTGTGCCACCTAATTTGATGGTTATAGGTTCCACCTTCAGTTTTTGTTTTAACAGGAATGTTCTTTGTATTTTGATAAAGCTGTTGCTTAAAAGGAAAAAGTGTCACCATTCTGAGTTCCAGAAACAGCATGCTGGGTAAACCTCATCTCTGTGTCTTACAGTAGAGTCGAGTAGTAGCACTCTGCTTTTGGAAGGGAATATTTTGAGTTTCACATCATAGATTTGAATCATCTGAGATTACCAAACAATATGAAAAAGTGGATTAATAGCAACGCAGGAGTCTTGTTTTAGGTTTCTCTTTACTGAACTGCAACAAATTATTTTATAGCATCAAAGCATTCTTGCTGAACTCCTGCTGGCACTGCATTGAATGAGGATTCTGTCCTATTTTATACTTGCCCCATTGAATTCATTATCATTTTCACCTAAATAAATAGTATTGTATTATTAATGTTAACAGTACGGATTCAACTGTATTCACTTAGTTGAATTCAATGCAATTAATTTAGATTGGATCCAACCCACTATTCTGATGTACCATTGTTCTTAATCATTATAGGATATAACTAATCAATTCGATTTCTCCTGGACAGGCTTGAGTTCAAATCAGTAGTGAAATGCACTTACCTTCGTTACCGGTTTGGAAATGTGAGCACATGCGCAGAGGGTAAAAAACAGGATGTAATGACGTCCCGGCAGGTGGGCGGAGCCTCCCACTGCGGGCCCTACCAGTTCATGCGAGCCGGATAGATCCGGCCAGATTTCACCGCTGGTTCAAATCCCTATTAAGCTATGAAGCTCACTTCCTGCTCTCAGACCAGTTACTACCTATAATATGAACTCATTTCACAAGGTTGTAACAAAAACAACAACAACCCATTGTTAAATAGATGATGTAAGACATCCTTATCAGTTTGGAGTTTTTTTGTTTTCAATTTACATAAAGATTGGAGACATCAATGTTCTGCTCTGGTGCTCAGAAGAGCGATGAACAAAGCTGATCCCATTAGTAAAGAAAATGAAGTGGCTGCCTTGATTGGCTAGACCAGGATAGACATCAAACTGGAGGCAAGTCTTCACTTACTGCCTTCCAGATATACTGCCCAAAGCAGCCATTTCTTTGCCTGTAAGGAGTTACTTGCTATCCTCCTGCCCAACTATATTATTCATTTTTATTTTATTATTCATATTTCTATGCCGCCCACTCTCCAAGGACTCTGGGCGGCTTACACCAAAGACAGTATACTAAATAGCATATTGCCCCCAACAATCTGGGTCCTCATTTTACCCACCTCGGAAGGATGGAAGGCTGAGTGAACCTTGAGCCGGTGAGATTTGATCCACTGATCTGCTGAACTAGCAGCCAGCTGAAGTAGCTGCAGTACTGCACCCTAACCACTGCGCCACCTCGGCTCATATATAGGTGTCTATTTGATAAGTAACTGCCTTGGTTTTTCCACTGTTTTCAAGCAATCTTTTGAAGGTTGTTTCCAAATGATACTGATTGGGTTAGGATGGGTGGCAACATGACTGTTACTGGGAAAGGAATGTGAATGAAAGAGCATGCATGGGGAATGTATGAGAATGGCAACAGAAGTGCAGGAAAGCAGAATCGTTCTTCTTTGGTTTCCCTTGAATCAGATATATTTCAGAGACAAGCAGCTGAGTATCGGAAGAATAACATATTGCTTAAGCTGATAAAAATAATAACTGATGTTATTATCCATAATGTGTTTCCATTTCTGGTATCCTATACAGGTCAACAGAGATGGTCTACCTAGTAGTAAATATCTATGGAGATTCTCAGTCATCCAGGTCATGGTTGTCCCAAAGGTGCTTTCTCAAGAGGCAACTGGATTTTCTTTGTTTTTCCTTGAAGATGTTTCACTTCTCATCCAAGAAGCTTCAGTCAGAACTGAAGAAGCTTCTTGGGTGAAAAGTGAAACATCTTCAAGGAAAAACAAAGAAAGTCCAGTTGCCTCTTGAGAAAGCACCTTTGGGGTTAGTTAGTGATAGTAACAGGCATGTGACTAATAGTATAATTATGAGGGATCGTTTATCATATCCTTAACATCTTCAAGAATCTGGAGAGGTAGCACTGTTAGTCTACTATAGCAAAAAGAAACAATGGAAAAGTCCCTTTGTTGCTTTTTTAGAAAATAACTCTTAAACCAGTATGTCTGGTGCTTCAAGAGTCTATGTTTAACAGTATATTTTTCCTCATTACAGGCTAATTTTAACACTTGACAATAATCTGGTTTTGTGAAATAATAATCCCATGTTAAATAGCGCAGGCTGCAAACAGAAAGGTTTCTTTTTCATTAGAACCAGAGAGCTGTACTGAAAGGGTGTGTCAAAGCAAGACAATTCCACAATCTACTTTTTTTTGGGGGGGGGTATTGCTCTTGGGCATAATCAGTCAAGCCTGCCTACTCCATAAATCTCTTTAAAACCAAAAAAAGATCTTCCATCAAAATCTGTAGTGCTTGCATTCCCTAGCCAACAATGGTGGGGTACATGGCCTTTTTCTCCCTGTTCTTTCTTTGTTGGTTTTTTTCTTTTTTCTCTCCCCCCCCCCATTATCATACAAAACTTCTGTCTTGGGGAAGGTGCCAATCAAACAGTGGCATTTTCCTTGGATCAGGTTTGCCTGCAACAATCGTGAACTTGTTGGCCTGCATTCCTATTAAGAATTGATTTAATGATGCATTATTTAGGCTTCCTATAGCAGTCAGGGACATTATTACCAGACAGGCATTCGGGAGATGGGTTGACTGATAACATCCTTTTAGAAATCTCGTGTTGTGTGTGTGTGACATGGAGGAAAAAGCACAGAAAGGTGGGGGGAGAGAAATAACCCCTGAAGAAAAAAGACCAAGAAAAAACTATCAACATTTTTCTGACATCTTATATTAATCTTCCATTAACAAGAATGCGAATGTTCCCATACCCCCAATATCATAGAAATATGGGGAAACAACTACAGAATGCCTGTGGTTTTAATTAAGTCTATTTACTTCCAATACTAGCAAAATCCTAAATATCTTTTGGATGACTGGATTGTTTTTATGTAGTAAATGAAGAACATCCTGATTTTTTCCCCAGTTCTATCTAGCTTCCCTTTTGCTCCTAAGTTCTTTCAATATTAGCAACTTTGAGGATGTGCTGGGTATATTACTAATAACAAGGATGGCTTAGAATTTTTAAATGTGCATTTACAATCTTCCCTCACTTTTAAGGTAGAATACACAATTCTCATTGTATGCTCATAATAACCTTGTTAAGTAGATGGATTCAATTTCTTCCATCAAACTTCACAACTAAGTGGAAAGTTTCAATCTGAGCCTCTATAGACCTAGGTTGACTTGATAATGCCAATGCTTTCTCTTTCAATATACTGAAAACAGAATTGCAAAGGTTAATATAAAAATAACTAAAAGGATATGTCCTGAAAATATGCATTCCTAAAATGCAGATATCTGTATATTTCTCTCTCTCCCCCTCCCTCCCTATCTATCTATCTATCTATCTAATCTATCTATCTATCTATCTATCTATCTATCCATCCATCCATCCATCCATCTATCTATCTATCTATCTATCTATCTATCTATCTATCTATATCTCTATATCTCTTTATCTTTCTATGTATCTATCAAATTAAGTTAAGCTGCCAGTTTGTTGGATTTGCAACTAGCTCAAGTTCAACCATCCTGTGATTTGTTTAATACATGCGGTGATAGTCACTGTAGTTTATGAATCATGGCTGATGGCTTAGCTGTGTGCCATGATCCCAGTCAGTTATGGCTTACTTAAACCACAGCTTAATGCAGTGTGTAAATGTAATGGTGATCTTGAACTCTGGCATAGAATTTATGAGCACCGCTATACATGTGTTGCTCATCCATTTTCCTGCCTCTTCAACAATAGATGTGATATAAAATGTGGCATGTTCAGATTCTTCATGTCATATACTCACTCACACCTACCCACATGACAACCAAAGAAGTGGAACAAATTGTAAAAATGCTAATGGCAGGGTTTTTTATTTTAAATCACACATATTTTTAGTTGTACTTCGATGGGAAAATCTGATGACTCACACGTCAACCATGTTCCAACTTGTGGCTCAAATCAAGGAGGAATTTATATGTTTTCTGAAGATACGTATTTACTCAATGTTTCCTTATATCTCTTTTAAAAGAGCTAATTTCCATCTCAGGGCTTGGGAAATTATTGTGCAATGTAGTGCTCCAGGATGCAGCAGGACTGTGATAGCCATTTCACATAAAGCGATGCCTCCCATCACAGCATCACTATCACAATGTCACTATTTTGACTTCCGTTTTACACCAGACACGCTAAAATGAAGTGGCTGTAAGGCAGAGAAAATGCCTTAGAAAATGCAACCTGCAATTGGAACAAGCATGAGGTTCTATTATCCAGTTAATGGATATCAATTCAAAGCAAATCTGAAATGGGACCTTCCAATTGATTTACTATAGTTTTCATTGACCTGCCATCAGAAAAAAGCCATTTTGCCCTTTCAAGTCATCAGTTTAAGTCTCAAACCAAAGTCTCCAGCAGCTGGTTTCCAAGATCTGCGTCATCCCTCCCTCTCCAATGAATATGAATACAAATGTTAAACTGTATCTCCTCCTCTTATCCTTCTTTGTCCTCCTTCCTAATTTTATTTGTCCTCCTTTGCCTGCTCAGATATCTGGTAACTCTAGGCTAAACTTGATCTTGTGGATGTGGCACATAAGAGCTATCACATTTCAGGGATAAAGCACTGTGGTAGCAGTGGGAACAGGTTTGGTCATGATCATATTCATGAAAGACAAGTGATCAGGAGAAGCTTAAAAAGTTGTATAAGAGTGTTAAAACCAATGGTGAAATCCAAATTTTTTTACTACCGGTTCTGTGGGCATGGCTTGGTGGGCGTGGCAGGGGAAGGATACTGCAAAATCCCCATTCTCACCCCACTCTGGGGCCAGCCAGAGGTAGTATTTGCCGGTTCTCCGAACTACTCAAAATTTCCGCTACCGGTTCTCCAGAATCTGTCAGAACTTGCTGGATTTCACCCCTGGTTAAAACCCTTGAAATTCAGCAACTGGACTGTATGCTTCAGCATCCTTCTAGCTGACTATTCTCACTTCCTGCATTCTGAGGTTCTTTGGGATAGGAAATGCTGTGAGTGAGCCTCATGTTGTTGGCAAGCTATAGATGCTGACATGTTCTTGTATTTTTGCTTCATCAGATGAGCCAAACTTCTGATTTGCTTGTTAGAATAGGAAGCCTCCTTAGTTCCAGCTCAGCCTTAAAAGGAAATGGTTGTGGTCTGGCAGATGGGAAGCAGAATATCAAAAGAAAAGAAGAAGTGACATTAAGAAATGGAGGAATCAAGAGTCATACTTGGCCTTAGTAACCAATAGGGCAGTGATGGCTAACCTTTTCATTGCCGAGTGCAGAAAGCGTGCACGCACCCATAATGCAATGCACGTACCGCGGCCCTGTGCATGTGCATGCGACCCCCACATGTACCCTGTGCATGCACATGTGAGCCCCATGTATGTCCCCATCCTCCACACATGTCCGCACAACCCCCATGTGTGCACCTTACCCCGTGCATGCGTGTGCGTCTCCTGCATGCACCCCGCCCCCCCCACGTGTGGCAGAAACCCGAAAACCATCTGGCCAGAGGGAGGTGTGCGCACATGCTTGGTGGAGCAGAGATGAGCTGGGGCGATGGCTCGTATGCCTGTAGAGAGGACTCTGTGTGCCATCTGTGGCACACGTGCCATAGGTTCGCCATCACAGCAATAGAAATTTCAAGGCCAGCAGAAGAGTTAAAAAATAAATTAGGATGGTGGTCAGAACCACACAGTTGAACCTCTGCCCCTTTTGTATGTGTGTAACAGGAATGGAGCTGTGATCAGACAGTGTGACCATTGTTTTTTTTTCTTTACCTATAGACACCTTTGAAGCAGGGGTGAAATGCTTCCGGTTCGGACCGGATTGCCCGATCCGGTAGCGATGGAGGCGGGTGGTTCAAAGAACCGGTAGCAAAAATCCCTGCCCCACCTCCCATTGCCCAGCTGAACCGTGCAATCATCAGAGGCTTTTTTTAATTTTTAAAAGCATTTTTTTACAACCTCTTTGGCCGAAAAAATGCTTTTAAAAGTAAAAAAAAAAGCCTCTGATGATCGCGCGGCTCAGCTGGGATTATCAGAGGCTTTTAAAAGCATTTTTTCTACAACCTCTACCGCCGAAGAGATTATAGAAAAAATGTTTTTAAAGGGAGAAAAAGCCTCTGCTGATCAGGCAAGTCAGCTGGGATCATCAGAGGCTTTTAAAGTATTTTTTTTACAACCTCTTTAGCCGAAGAGGTTGTAGAAAAAATGGTTTTAAAAGTTTTTTTAAAAAAAGTTGGCCATGCCCACTCCGTCATATTAACCCCCACCCCACCAAGCCATGCCCACAGAACCGGTAGTAACAAATTTTACATTTCAACACTGCTTTGAAGTCAAGACAAAGATTAAATTTGGGTTCATTTGGTTTTAAATGTTGCATGACATTAATAACATTGAGATTACTATGAGGAGTACCACTCTCTCCTTTACATTGAAAATTACAGGGAGGTGATCACCTTTCAGAGAGGGTTCCCAATCTGCATCCAAGATTTTGGGGGCACATGTGCAATCTTGGAATTTTAGATGGTACAACAGTGTTTTAAGATCATGCTTTTTCCCAAGTCACAAAAATCATAACTACATGGCAGAGTCATAAGTGTTGATGAGATTGCCTTCTAAATCCCCAGCAATTTCTAGGATGCTCAAGAACCAATGGTTGTGGGAAAACATGTTTGATCCAGGTGGTTTCTAATGCTATAAACAAGATTGCTGAGATAATGATCAGTACTATGATGCAAGAGGAATATAGGGTGCAAAATAATGTAAGGTGATACATGGGAGAATATTCCTGGGAAAAGAGTTTTGTTGACAAGGCACTCCACTCCTCTTTTACTGCTTTTTCTGACCAATGAAAACATCATTCAGTTCATCCTTGTTTATACTAGAGAAGAACTCACAGTAGATGTAATCAGTGGTGAAATGTAAAATTTGTTACTACCGGTTCTGAGTGGGCGTGGTCACTTTTTTTTTTCCTTTTAAAACCATTTTTTCTATAAACTCTTCGGCTGAAGAGGTTGTAAAAAAAATGCTTTTAAAGCCTCTGACGATCCCAGCTGACTTGCCTGATCGGCAGAAGCTTTTTTTAAAAAAAAAAGCCTCTGATGATCCCAGCTGAGCCATGTGATCATCAGAGGCTTTTTTTTAACTTTTAAAAGCATTTTTTCGGCCGAAGAGGTTGTAGAAAAAATGCTTTTAAAAATAAAAAAAAATGCCTCTGATGATTGCGCGGCTCAGCTGGGCAATGGGGGGGGCAGGGATTTTTGCTACCGGTTCTCTGAATTACCCGCCTCCATCGCTACTGGATTTGGTTGATCCGGTCCGAACTGGGAGCATTTCACCCCTGGATGTAATGCAAGGAAAGCCTTTTCTGCTATTGAAATATATAGAAGCATCTCACCAGGGTAGCCTTCAGCTCCAGGGCAGGAAAGCCTGTCAAAAAAATTCAGGGAAGTACAATTCTCCCATACCTGTAAGCTCCAAGTTGTTCTTCAAGTATCATCAAAACCAGCCAGCTCCTTGTTGAAAGTCAGCCTAAAAATTTCAGGAAAAACATCAGAAGATTTAAAGTTTAATGGCTCTCTGAAATAGGCTCCCCTTTCTATTGTTTATAATACTTCAATATATTTTTTTAAAATTGAAATGTAAAGTGCTGTGCGTGCAGTTATTTTAAAGCAAATCATGGGATTGGCATACTCAATTGTTAATTTTTTAAGACAGGACTTTTTCTAACCTTACATCAAAAAGGTCAGAGTTTCAGGCAGATGTCTTCTTTCCTTTGCTGGCTGGGGCTATTAGAATTTGACTGGAGGCTGGACAGTACCCAAAGCATATGCTCTTCCATCACTGAACCCCACACCCTTGCGCCTTAAAACGAAACTTTAGAAAACTGCCAAAGGAATGTGGGTTGACCTCTGCCAATATGGTAAAGTTTCTTTGTTGTTGTTGTTTTAGTTCAAATCATGAAAGCTCTTGGGGTTGCAAGGAATTCGTATGCAGAATCAGCAATACTTGTACAAAGAGGCAGTTTGCGACTGAGAAAACTGATGTTCCTGATGGTTGTTTAATAGTTGCTATAACCTTACATCAGAAAAATGCACCGTGCAGTGAAGGGGTCTGAGGAATTCTCATATAGAGGCGACCTAGCTGAAATTCTTTACATATCTGAGTAGCATGTCGAATGATAAATATAATATTTATCATATTGTTTTCAATTCATATGTTCCATAGTGCCACTTATTTTCTCCAGTTCACTGAACAGAAGAAGTGCAAAGAGACCTGTCTTTAATACCCCAAAGAAGATTTATATTCAATGTCTCTCACTTGACAATTTAAGATACAAGTTAGGAGCTGTCTATACCAGCATGAATATAAATATATCAAAACAAGTAATACTATTACATTCCACTTTTCAAAGGGAGCCTCAATAATCAGAGATAACAGCTTTTACTTATAATTATGGTTAAGTTTCTAACCTGGTATGAATGAATGTCTGTCTGTCTGTCTGTCTGTCTGTCTGTCTGTATCTATCTATCTATCTATCTATCTATCTATCTATCTATCTATCTATCTATCATCTTCCGGTGTTCTAGAGAGTAAGACTACCACCAAGAAGGCACATCTTGCTCCTCCTGTTTTCCCCTGTGAGGGGAATTGGGCTGAGGGAAAGTGATGGGTCCAAGGTCACCCAGCTGGTTTTTATGGCTAAGGTGGGACTAGAACTCACAGTCTCCTGGTTTCTAGCATTGTGCCAAACTGTGTCTGTAAAAGTAATTATCCCACTTCGAATTGGGCCTGGAAGCCTATTGGGAATCAGTGTAATTTATGACAATTGCACCTCTAAGAACCATCCATACAGCATTAAATATCAGAATTTCCAACTTTCCCAACCTGATGACACACATGTTTCTGCACAAATAGCTAATCCTGATTAGGAATTCTTAGCAATGTAATCCCAAATCACTCGGTTGATAAACAATTTAGCTAATCCAACACATCATCAATTTAGCAAATAAATAATGAGTTACGTCTGTTGAGAGACACCATTTGGTACAGTTACTGTTAAAATTTTTGCTAACCTTAATATCACATCATGTCTATCATAATTAATTTAAACATTTTTCATGGTCTGGTATGAAGAAAAATGACATATTGCAAGACCCACTTTGTCTGAAAACAGCAGTGAAGGGGGACAGTGTCAAAGTCACACAGTCATGAAATCTGACTAAATTCCTACGTTATCTCAAATATTGTTTATAAAGTAATGCAGGGGTGTCAAACTCGCGTCATCATGTTGTCGTCATGTGACGTATCATGACTTTTCCCCCTTTGCTAAAATGGGGGTGGGCGTGGCCTGCGCATGACACATCCGGGCCTCAGGCCGTAAGTTTGACACCCCTGAACTAATGCAATATAGAAACCCAGTACTTGCAATTCATTCCAGCAAATCATCATTCACAAAATCATGGGTTAGGTGATGTGAGAGCCTTGGTGGCGCAGCAGACTAAAGCACTGTTAAGTAACACCAGCTGCCTGCAATTACTGCAAGTTCAAATCTCACCAGGCTCAAGGTTGACTCAGCCTTCCATCCTTTCGAGGTCGGTAAAATGAGGACCCGGATTGTGGGGGCAATAAGCTGACTTTGTATAAAAAAGAACACCGCTGGGTGTGTGTGTGAAAGCCCTACTAAGCAGGTATATACAAAAGTATGAAGGCTATTGCTTAACGCATTGTAAGCTGCCCTAAGTGTCCAGAAAAGGGTGGCATATAAATCGAACCAATAAATGTGTGAACTTACCTACTAACTTTTGGACCTATAGGAAAAGTGGTACATAAATGCAACACACCAATAAAGGCCAAATCCTAGACCGTTGTGGGTTTGTTAGCTCCACAAATGCAAAGGCAGAAAATCTAAATGCCTTCCAGATGCTTTGGATTGCTGTACCCATAAGCCATGCAGCCAGTATAGGAAGTCCAAAATATCTGGAGGCAATCAAGTTTCCTGCCCTATAAAAAAAAAAATCCCCTCCTATACATCTTAAAGTAGAAAGTTGTTAGTGTTAAAAATGTTCTTAATTCTGGTTGACTGATGTGCCACCAAATCAGCATTGGCTCTTAGCTAATAGAAATAGAATATTCCGTAAAGGTTGGTTAAATACTTTGTGTGGCTTAGCTACAGAATTTTTAAAAGCAACTATAACCTTCCCCCCCCCACACACACACACTATAATAATGTCAATTTTTAACTGACACCCTTATATCAAATGCTTTATGGACAGTCATTTGCTCATTCTGAGCCTGTCTTTATACATGGATGCCCCTGGGAAATGCAAGCTAATATTGTTTCTTCAGCACTCAGGTACATTAGAGGAAACAATTTCTCTCCGGGATGTGTGTTTTGGATGGCCCTCATGTCTTCTGACATGCTTTTAGCTCACAACACTTCAGATCTGTCAGGGAGTGTAACTAGAAGAAAATGTTCGTAAGATTTATGATGCAGAGACTTTAACTTCCCAATCTAATAATGGTGAACAAAGCATTTGCTTTTTGGTAACAAAACCAGTTGATGTGCAGAAATTAAAAGAGGCTCATTTAGTCCTGCATATTTCAGTCAAGCACTTTAGTCTAATGATGATGATTGCCTTAGGGTTTGATGAGAAATGGATTGTTCTGAAGCCTGTTGGGAATAAGAAGGCTTTTCGAATTGGGTCAGAGAAGAGTAGAGTGCATTGATTATTTGAAAGTAATTTTTCCTGTCTAAGCACCATTACCCAGAGTGGAGCAAGAGATTGTTCTTTCGACCGGCATCACTGCATTTGGTTGCATCCAAGACAGAAATTATATTACCTTCTCTGCTGTTTACTAGGGCAATAATCGAGGCACTGTGGGGCTTGATTAAATATGATTTGTTTTGTTACTTGGGCTGACGTGGCATCTAGTTACAGGTCACATCAATACAAAATGCCCAAATTTGATTTCATGTAGTAATTTGTCTCCACTTATTTTTTACTTTCCAGGGGTTTTTCATTGGAATTCATTGCTTACCTTTCAGCAGCCACAAGGTTTACAGAAGAAGAACAGGAAATCTTAGGAAAACATCTTAACTGTACTCATGGAACTGAATAAAAGAGGGGGATATTAAGAAGCATTTGAGGAGAAGTAGCCAATATTTTAGACTCATAAATAGGAATGCAGGAAGAAAAGAGGAAGACAGTGCCAATTTAGCCCTCAAATGAAAAGAGCTTAATTTTTTTTTTTAAATTTGATTTATATGCCGCCCTTCTCGGGAGACTCAGGACGGCTTACAATGCATTAAGCAATAGCCTTCATACTTTTGTATATTTTTATACAAAGTCAGTTTATTGCCCCCACAATCTGGGTCCTCATTTTACCTACCTTAGAAAGGATGGAATGCTGAGTCAACCTTGAGCCTGGTGAGATTTGAACTTGCAGTAATTGCAGGCAGCTGATGTTAATAACTGTTAATAACAGTGCTTTAGTCTGCCGCGCCACCAGGCTCCTAAAGAATCAGAATTAGCTTCTGTCCAGGTTAAGGGGAAACTAAACAGTCCTTGCTCATTTCATTCTCCTTAAGGTACAACTCATTGCAGTATGACCAGAGAAGAATAAAACACTAAAATTAAGATTAAAATTCAACCAGGTTGTTTGGTGCAGAGACTCTCATCACCTAGAGCAGGAGTGTCAAATTTATGGCCCACGGACTGGATGTGTCACGCACTGGGCACGCCCACCCACAGTTTAGTGAAGGGGGGGGGAAGTCGCGATACATCACATGATGACAATGTGATGCCCCTGACTTAATCTAACTTCAAGGAAATGGTGATTCAATTTGTATAAGTAGCTTTCAAAAGATTTGTCTTTTAAAAGTATGAAAAGAAATGTGAAACAATATATGTGCTCCTTTTTATATCTCATACCCATACTTGATTTTTAGAATAGGTGGGAGGGTATCCCTCTCTCCTGAATATTAGATTAGATTCAGTTTGACATAAGTCTTATTGGGAAGACAAAGGGAGAAGAAGAAGGCTCATGAAGGCAATATATCTTCATATAAACAAGAAGCACACACCACTGCTTTTATTTGCAATGGAATATTTCAGTGGCTCTGTATTTGAAATAATAATTACCAACTTTGGGTCTATTGTAGAGACTGATGTAAAATGGATCCCACAGAATTCTGGCAATTTGTTAAATGATTACCATTTAATTACCATTTAAGCATTACCATTGGTAATCATTTACCTGGTAAATGATTATCAAGATAGTGTTGCCTGTCATAAAACACTAGTTAGGTTATTCCCTAAAATCTTATCATTACAGCTTACTGCTCCCCTCTCCCCCATGGTGTATGTGTGTGTGTGTGTGTGTGTGTGTGTTCCTAATTAAGAGACCACAATTGCAAAGAAAGCACTTATCTGCAAACAGTCATAATTTTTCTTTTCTAAGAATTTACAGTGGTAAATTACAGGCCCAGTGATATTTTTGGTAATAAAGATGATCTCAAAGATCAGTATTTTGTTGCCAGCTCTCATTTCATTCAATTTTAATTAAAAACCTCTTATAAAAATTAAGTCAAGTGAATTATGAAACCTGATGGAGCAACAAGAAGTGTTTGCAACACTCTGCACTGCCTAACCTTGGCCTGTAGAGAATCTGAAAGGGGTGCTGTTGTTGTTACTGTTCCTGGGTTGTTTATTTGTTAATTGTGTGGGGAAGAGAAGGAGCTGGATAGATAGCAGAACAAAAAGAAAAGAAGCTGAAATGAGACTAATTACCTCTCCTAAACTGAATGTAAGGCGGATGCCAATCTAATCAAAAGGGAAAGCTCTAGCTTGTAGGACTGGGAATTGCTTTGCTCTTTCTCAAGCCTTCCAAGGACCAGCTTGTTACTCCTAATGGGCTAGAACCGGTGTGAAGCCCAAGTCAAGAAGGACTGAATTCCAGCAAATCAGTTAAAAAGTCAAGGCAGGATCATAGTCAAAACCAGGCTAGAATTCTAAAGCTGAAAAGCAGCAATCCAGAAAAGTTATAGAAGGTGGAACAGCATTCTTTCACCTGTGAAGTTACAGTATTTGGCTGAAAATAAGGATGGAGGCTAAGCAATAACTTGTTTTCTTATATACTCAAGTAGAAACATGCTAACAAAGAATTCTGGACTTCTAATTCAGGTCACATAGACTTAGAGTTCAAGAGAAGGAAAACTTCTAGTCAAACCACAGACATCTTAATGACTTTGACCAAAGGTCATTTGAAAGGAATTGTGCCTCTGTTCTTGTTCTTTAAAATAAAATGCTAACATATCCTTAACGCAGTATGATAATTTTTGTTTACTAAAGTACATTAAATGTGAAAATGATTTTTGTTTTAAGTGCAATAAAAGGGTGATTTTCAATACTTTGTTTCCTAATTCCCACAATTATTTTATAAAAGAACCTGGAACTGTTCAAAATAAAAATAAAAACCCTACTTTAAAAATATATATATGTGTTTTAGTTACAGGTAGCCCTTAACTTACAACCACAATTGAGCCCAAAATTTCTGTTGCTAAGTGAGACTTTTGTTAAGTGAGTTTTGCCCCATTTTATGACCTTTCTTACCACAGTTGTTAAGTGAATCACTGCAGTTGTTAAGTTAGTAACATGGCTGTCAAAGTGAATCTGGCTTCCCTGTTCACTTTGCTTGTCAGAAGTGGCAAAAGGTGATCAAGTGACCCTGGAACATTGCAACCGTCATAAATATGAGTCAGTTGCCAAGTATCTGAATTTTGATCATGTGATCATGAGGATGCTGCAATGGTCATAAGTATGAAAAATGGTCATGTCACCTTTTTTCAGTGCCACTGTAACTTTGAATGGCCACTAAACAAGTTGTTGTAAGTCAAGGACTACCTATATTTATAATTACCATTTCATTAATACTTTTGACAGGTTTTTACTGCTCTAACTGTATGAATAATTTCATGTTGAAATAATAATTTCTGGGTAAAGTAACAATTTATCAGGTAGAAACTTCCAGCTGCATTTCACCACCCAGCATCTTAGGCAACAGAAAATCAAATCTTCTCAGAGTAAGGACAATACAACAACAATACAACAAATCAACCCCAAAATAAATATATGGATTAAAAAAGATCTTGTCTCACACTGGAATATTATAAGACCATGTCAAATATGTTTGCAGTCAAATGGAAATATTTATACAGTTCTCACCTCACAACTAGATAAATCATATATTGTGTGTCATGGCTGGCAACAGTTTTATATAAATGCTTGCAGTGTACCCTTTAATATTCCACTCTCTCTATCACATTCAAGGGTGGAGTATCTATCCCAGTAATTATATTGGAGATGTGGTGTCTCTATCCTATCCACCCTCTACTTTTCCTTCTCCCTGTTGCAATATTGGCCATGGTCAACAGACCAACGTATCTCAGCTCACTGGACTGGAAGATGGTTTGTTCTGCCTTCCTGTTCTGCTCTTTTCTCCTGATTCTCTCATGCTAACAATAGAGCAGTGTTTCCCAACCTTGGCTACCTTAAGATATGTGGACCTCAGTTCCCAGAATTCCACAGACAGGGCCCATGCTCAATAGGGAATTCTGGGAGTTGAGGTTCACATATCTTAAAGTTGTCAAAATTGTCAGACACTGCATTAGAAGAAGAGAATCACATCTCACCTAGGCTTCTTCTACATATCAACAGTGGTACCCGGCCCACTTAATTGAGCAACTCTGCAGAAGAGATTTACATTTCCAATGCAGCCAGATTAAGGTTGTGGGCTAGGTCACCACATTCTGTTTCAAAACATCCAAACTATTTCACACTCTTATCTCATTAATTATATTCTAGATCTACAATTCATCAGAACTTAAATTAGTCATGATTAATTTGTCACATTAATTTCAATAACACCTAAATATGACTAATTTAACTTGGATCCAACTCAATTTTGGGTATCAACAACAAACTCACTAGCTAAATATTGCCTTAAGGCTTTTCCTAGCTAAAGTACCTTATTTCTAGGCAAGAGAGATAGACTTGAAAGATGGCTCTCAGGCATGTTTTTGTGTTTGGGGCAAAGGCCAGTGCACAATATATATTAATGTTGCATGAATTTTGCATCTTGTATAAAGGACAGATTAGAAAAAGATTAACCCCAATTTAGCATGGGTGCATTGCTGTGCCCACTTGAAGGCAATCACAGTTCCTTGTGAATAAAAATGTTTAGCGTTATGCTGGAAACTGATCAGTAATGAATAATATATTCATGTGGCCTTCAAAGTGCACATGCATTTTTATTGATTGCCTGATTGTTCTTCATAGATATTTTAAAGAAAAATACGATAAACAGTTTAGCGTTGCAAGTTGTAGGACAGAATGTTTCTCCAAGCTAATTAAGAATCTTTTAGGGGATGGTCTGTAAAAATCCTGTCCTATACTTCTAATTCCAGTGTTTATGGTGAAATACAAAGCAATGGGGAAGAAGAAGATTAGAAAAATAAAACTTATCTGCTTCCTATATAACATTCTCCATGAACCTAAGAGGACTCTCTTAGTTAAATGATACTTTACTGAGGAAGGTGGTAGAAAATAGTTTATTTCAGATAAATATTGTATAAAAGGAACTAAAACTAGGTCTCATCTTTTTAGTTTTGCAATACTATTTATTTTTGCAATATTATGTTCTCCCAGTTAAAAAATACCATGCTGTGGGCATCATTTAGGTTCAGATTCAGACTTCTGGAAGATGGTTTTTAAGAAAAGAGTTAAGAGACCACTCAAAAACAATAGACAATTTAAACAGACACTAGCCATAACTTCAAATATTTATCTAGTGATTACTGGTAGCAGTGGGGGGAGGGACTAAATGAAGGGAAGGGGAGAAGGCATTGCAAAATCTTTTTTTTATGATGTTTCCATTTGTTTTTTATTAGTAATTACTGATATTCTGCTTTTCTTTTACATCTTCATTTTTGTGTGATATCTGTTAATATAATCTGTCAAAATTTATGCAATAAAAAAGAATTGTTAACAATTTAGATTCAAACCAAACAAGGTCATATAATGAAATGTCAAAGAGCTGTTGTTCTGGTCACGAACCTATCTTTTTTATCACCCATCTATCTATTATAACACTTATTCTTCAATTAATCAGGTAAGGCTGTATGGTTGAAACTTTTTTTTTTAACAATTTCAATGTAGGAAAGTTTGAAAAATACTGTGGTGTCAACTGAGATCATTCCGTTTGTCCTCCATCTCATACA